GTTATTTAAAACTATTAGTCTATCAATTCGGATGGCTATTCAACGAAATGGTTACGACAAAACATTTTAAATAATTCAGAAGACGTTGTCATGAACCAGATTGGTTTACAGACAACGTTTGTAGGCTACCTGCATTAAATTTTCATACGATATTGCAGTTACAAAGTTCAATTTCAATAGGACCTTTCCTTGAATTGAATTGGAGTCAACGGACTGCCTCTAGAGTGGTTCGTAACCGGTGAATAGTCAGATATAATTTCAAGTTAGAATAGACGTTTGCAAGCTTACGGTTAGACGGCACGATGGTATCTACTCGGTTGTTCGGATATTTCAAGAGTATTGCTAACTCGTGTTTGTTTAACCAAACATGTAAAAAGCTTTTCGTTCGTATTTCAGCATTCTAACTTTTTGTCAATTTAGTCATTTAGTCGTTTCGGCTATAGCCAGGTTAGGTTAGGTTCAAAATCAAGCGCAGAACGAAAAATTCAGTTGCTAACCAACTTGTACATAATATATGTTTCGATCAATATTTAGTCGTTTGAACATTCTATATAACACAAAGAGTTGCCGACTTGGTCTCTTATATTTGGCATTTTATCGACCGCCCATCTCGACTCGTTACGTCACCAGAGGCCTGACACAAATCGCAATGGTATCGACTCCAAGATTCTAGCACAAATTCTTCTGTTTGAAACATGAATAGTAGTTATTCTACGTATTCTTAGTCTCACGAGACCTATCGAACTCTAAATAAAGGTCAGGTCAATACAACGTCTTTCAAGTAACGTCGGCAATCCTCGTTTCCCCTCCGGAACAAAACGTCCAGAATGTCGGAAGATATATAAAATAGTTTCTCAGACTCATCAAGGCGGGCCCTAACTTTGGAACATAAAATTCGGGGCCTTTCATGATGGGAGGCAGTAAAGGATTTTTTGCGTTTCACGACGGACTTGACATGGATAGATGGCGCCCAAAAACCTCGAAATTTCAATGCAAAATATAAGATTACCTGGCCTAATTTTTAAGTTGTTGACGTGAGAAGTTTTTTGTGAAGTAGAAGTATTCCGCGAAGTTAATAGAAACCTTTGAAAGTTGATATTTCGCACCAAGACATGTCGAACAGTGCTGAGTAATGCGTGACCTCATTAACTGCGAGGACGGTATGGGGACCATAAAGTTCCTACTAAATTCCCGTATTAGGGCTCCATCGAGTGGGTGCAGACATTTATTAATTAGGACGCCATGACACCAACTGAAAGGATTGCCGGTTCAGACGTGACCTTTTAATGTAATTAAGCAAATATTGATGTGTCCTGCGGCTATGCGCCACATTTGCGTATCGATTTAACTCTTATGTTTAAGGACTGATAAGCTAAACTCCGAAAACCTTTGGGTAATTTAGATTCTATTTTTACAAAATGTGTAAAATTCCGCGATGTTATTAACCTCTAAACGTTTTTCTGTCGCGACACGTCGTCGAAGCGGTGCCGCGGTGTGCAGAGCGCCACGTTTTAGTCATAGCATATTTTAGTTGGCGCTAATTACTTTTTGATGAGCAAAGTGTGAGTAACAAGATTACGAGATGCATTAAAAGGACATGACACATACCGCATTTTCCATAAAACGTTCTATTTTTAATAGTTGCCTTCCGTTCGTTAGCATAATGTGCATTGTGTGTCGTGTGTAGCCAGCTACACCACTTTGTAGCAAAGCTTTGAACAAAGGAGACATTACCGCCTCCATTTTCTAAAAGTACGAGTACTTTACCCAATTAAGGCTGTTAGCAGGCGATGTATAATCTTGATGAATTGCTGTGCTCATTACCATTAATTTACTTGTAAAATAGATTCGAAATTTCAAGGCGTCCTAATTAATGATGGAACAATGAATAAGATTTTCTTTAGTGTCTCTTTGTGTAAGTTAATTTGGACAGCTTGTACTGGTTTTTAGTTTATGGATGCGGCTGCAAGCCAGCGTGAAATGTAGGTACTCGAGTAAAGATAGAGCCGGACGGACATTTGGGACCGCTGAGAGTGCCGGTTTACAAAATGCTAATCCCGCCTTGTGCCGTGGGATATTGCGGAATTGTCTCCAGCCGTTTTCACTACGAAAACTTTAATTTTGACTGTTTACTTTGGCAGCTGTTAGGTAGCGCAGTCGGTTTTAACATCGCTTTCAAACGCTAATTCAACATCAGAGTCGATAGTTACGACGTCTCAATTAAGTCTATTTGTATTTCAAATTACAACACTGATGGTTCCGCTGCTTTTTTGCAGAATGTTTTGTTAAGAATGTAATCACTTAAAAATGGCGCAATCAATTTTTCATTATTTTAAGAAGGCTTACAATCAAATTTCAACATGGCCGAATTAACAATCGATCACAGTGGCTACTTCAAAAATCATATATTTCTGCAACCGTCCTTTCTGGGGTCAAACAAACCATTTGTCGACATTTAACGTGTACTCAGTTTGACCTTTGCCGCTTCAAGGGAACCTTCAGCTTGGCGTTTGACTACCGTTGGGCCAATAAAGGTTTTGTCAACATCAACTTTAGGTCTTTCAACTTTGACATTGGCATGTAGCTGGTATATTTTTCTATAATATTCCTTTGGCAGTGAATCAAAGTATCCGATCTGGTAAAGGCGAGTTGGGTCGGAATAAATGGTCGCTGTCGGTTAGTTGATACGTATCGTGACATTTTCCGAACAATATCGATAAGTCTGCTGCGATAGTGTCGGTATGATGAGACTCGATGCCAAATACTGGACACTTTGTAATAGATACGCGTTTTGTATTCTGTGGAATAGAGTATTTCGAGTAACTCTGAAACAATATACAGTAAAACTGGCTCCAGTGAAGTTAAAAATACAAAAAACATAAAGACCAAGATTAAAGGTAAAGTATTTCAAGAGTTTCTACAATGATGTCAAATAAGAAATGTTTTAAGAGGTACTTAATGAAATTGCGCGGCACAGGGAAGAAATGCGACAGAAACGGGTTCTTGTTTATCTTGCATTACAAACAAGGAAGAGGTATCTACGTACGTTGCGTAAAAAGAATTTGGAATTATATCATTTGAGTGTGGGAAGATAAAAGAGCAAGTTCTACGTCCAAGACGGTTATGAAGCACGTAGGACCTCCATCCCAGGAGATTCACCCCCGTCACCGAACCGATTGCGGTTAACTTAACTGCGAAGTAACTCAACCTGAGATTGTAGGTAAACTTGTGTATTGTTACGGCCAGATTTACGACATTTGCTCCCTTTTGAATTTAACTTTGTTAAGTACGGTGTTGACAAACTTTCAAACTGGATAACGTAAATTTCAAAACTGTCAAAATCCTTTTGTAACATGGTAAATTGAATCACATTTTCTAATGCCGTTTTTGTCTGTACGTTTCGTACAGTATAAATTATAATAAACACAACGTAATCAAAATTTTAATAGCACGCGCGTGATTTAATACAACGGCAATGTTAATCCCAAAAATAGATATTTCATGTGTGTATATTTATATCAAAGCGTAAGGAACGGAAGACCGATAGAGGGAGCGAAAAACCCTTTTTAGATTTAAAAGCCACTATAAATACCGCGAGATACCGAAACTCGTAAACTATCGTCGATAAACCTTGATGCACTATACCTATCAATAACAGAGTTACGTTCATTTTTCTAAACAACATCAAAAATTTTAATGTTGATATAAATATCAATCATTTCGCATGTTTAAATCTTCTTGATAACATTAAATTCAGAATAGATGATGATGAAATACGCGAACAAAGGTTTACAGCTAACAATAAAACCCGAAATTAATGTGAAGTTGCTGAATCAAGCAAGAATATATTTTATAGTCAAAAGAAATATTAGACAGGAGATTAATACCAGCTTGACATTAAAAAAGGACATTGGATGCTCTTTGTTACGGTAGCACTATATCCATTATGGACATACACATTATGTGAATACTTAATGAAATAACGGCAGTGCTAGCGAATAAAGTTAATGATATAATATTTAAAGACCTACTTAACAAGTTATTATCTGCGATTCAGGTATAAGCGACGAAGCTATTAAGTGAACTGTTATCGGAAACATTATCAAGGGTGCAAAGGATAAGAAGCCACTAGCCTCCCCACCTGTTCAAGAAGTTCGGATAGCTATCGATCTGATAGCGGTTTTGACAACAGTTCAACAAGATTAAACTTGATGTTCGGGGGAAAAAATGGGACATTTACTCGAGCATTTTCGTTAAGCTCCAATTTCCTAAAACTTTGTTTGGATTAGATTGATGAATGGACATTATGGGACGACGTTGTTCTGTTAAAGCGGCAGTTTAAATAAGAAAGACAAAAAGTTGACATGTTTGACGTTACGACAAAAATGTGATATTTTCGAGACGGAAAAAGAACTAGGCCGTCACGCCTGTCATGTGGAGGTCGCGGTTGAATAAATATGTCAGAATTGAATGCGGCACTTCTAAGGACTCTCAATGGGCCGTATCGACAATCAGCTGCTCGTAATATACAGAGAAATACTCCAACTAAACAATGCATTTTATAGAGAGATTAATTTCATCAACTTAAAATAAGTATATAAGCATTTGGCACTAAGGACTAGATATAGATAAGGCATACATAGGTAAGAATAAACTAAACATTTGGAGAATTATATTTCCGTCATAAGCGAGAACTCACAGCGGTCTATTTTTAAAGAATTTCCATTTAACTTGCAGCTATGAATCAACTTGTCAAATCATCAAAGGCGAACAATTTCTCGTGTGAGCTTATGAAATTCTGCGGTTTACGTGGTATTTACTAATGAAAGCTACAACTGTTTTGTGGTACATATAGGATTTTAACGCGTATTTGTTTTCTGGTTTAAATACCTGAAGTTATTTGGATTAACCGCAATAATGTCTATAGAAAGGTAAGTCACTGTTCTTGTTGGGCAGAAAGGTAATGGTAATGAAGAGAATAATAAGGAATTGGTACGGACCATCTGTGGGCGATGTGTAGAGCTTCTTGCATATTTCTTGCGGACCACCGAGCGCGTTGATCTTGGCCAGGCCCTCGGCGCCGCGAGACTCCATCAGCTCGCGAAGCTGCCGTAGGGTGACGCCATATTGCGCCGGCCGCCCCTCCACCGTAGCCATGGTGCCGGGCTCGCGGCCGCCGCCCGCACCACGCCCGACAACCCTCTAGCTCTGAAACAAGAAAAAAAATAACAATTTATACAAATCATCTGAGAATCCAACATCAATCCTCAAGGTCAAGATCCCTTTAATTTACAAGAATCGATTCACAGTCGATCAACAACATTTTTATAGTACAGAAATAAAATCTGCAATCCCCTGTAGGTGTGGGCAGTAGATTACAAGACTACTACTCCTACGTCGCGTTCCGCCTACGTAGGCAGTGGGCGGATGCATGGGCACGCACAGTTCATCAGACACAATCGTCTAATGTGTACTGCGAGATTGTTGGTATGCAATTTGTTAGGCAGCAGTATAATAATGTAATTATGCAAAATGATACAACAGAGATATAGGATATTGTAATGGAAACTGAATGATATTGCTTTACATCGGTAAAGAGGATGCAGTTAATAAAAGTGAGGCTCAAGTCAAAAAGAAAAGGAAGAGCTTCCAAACATATGCACGATGATTAAAGTCCACGAATTCCAGACGACGCACCTGCGTCAAAGGAGCCAATGACGTTCACGAAATATCTGCGAATTGACAATGCGAATGTATTTGTAAATAAAATTAAATTTTCTGAGAATTCCTCACATTTGTGATCCAAAATTAAGACTTTCTCATTTCAGTATGATATTTACGATAATATGACCGGCCAAGTGGCGGAAGCTAGTGATGAATCTGTGCATGGCACATGTGTTCTGACGTAGTTTTTTTATAGAAAATCAGATTGTATTAGAGCTAAGGGAATCATAAGAGACTCAGAGTAGTATTTCTGCGATATTCTCATTGTATAAGTAGAAGCCTGGGCGCTATTTACGGCGCTATAAAACTTCCCGTCGGGTGCACTTTAGCGTTGAACGGTGCATAATTAAACAAGGGTGGGGGATCTTCGCACCTACTCTGCAGGGGCGTGAGCCTCGTCCCACATAATTACTGGTAAAGGTAAAGGATATTGAATATAATTATTTCAGCGCAGGTTCGAAGGATTTAGGTGGCCAAGGAAACTTTTGGGGTTTAGAGGAAAGTTATTAAACTATCAAAGGAAGATAATATTCTGTGGGGTCGTTAAGTAGTGGATAGGATGGAAACAAAGCTCTTAGATGATTTATACACGAATAACCGTATAGCCATAACGGACATGGTAGTTCGTGTACTGTGTTTTGCAAATTAATCTGTTTAAAAAAGGGTCCTCGTAATCTAAACCCGAATCAATAATTACGAAGAGTGTCAGCTGCAGTACACACCTGCAAAGCTATTACATTCTTTTTACAACGCTATAAAGACATCAGATGGTTTATTGCAGTGTCGTACATAATTTAGAAGTAACATGAAGACAGCTCGTGAATGATATAAAAAGATACGCAATGAATGTACTTTCTCAGAATTTGTAACACACGAGTAAACATTTAATTCTGCAGTTTTATGATGACTTAAGTAAGATCAACAGAATTATGACTCAACCCTGAAATTTTACCTGACGAAATGCTTGCCTTTGGTTTTCATAATATAATAATTTTAAGCAAACTCTGAAATAATCCCAAAGTCTGCGTAAAAATGAAAAAGCTCTCAATTTCGTTGATGTATTTGTAGGCATTCTTTCAGCCAGATATTGGAAAGAACAAGACAAAATATCACATAACAATAAAAAAGAACAGGAAACACAAAAATATTCCGAGGCAAAAGATAATTTTGCTGTCAAAATGAAAGCTGATCCTACAAAGTAAACTGAAACATTGAGGGTTGGGCTTCAACGAGGAGTACTTAGCATACGTCTGACATTTTACGACAGGTTCAAGCATTAGGACTAAGCTTTTAAAATTACAGTACTTACTTACGTATCACTATTGTTTAGGAACATGGTTACCGGGCGGGGCTTGCCAAAAAGAGAGGGTTAAGTACTCCATAAACCGTACTGAATACACAATAGAGGTGTGCTGGGGGAGGGGGTGTGTTCTGCGTATCCTCGTATTTTATATACGCAAAACCAACTCGAGTGGAAGTTATGGGCGACGTGTCAAGTTAAGATGATTGCAAATGATGCTGTTATGCAAAAGGGTGAAGAAAGAACAGATTTGGATAAGGAAAAGCAAGATACTGACTAGAAAACTCTTGGAAAAGAAACAATGTCTAAAAAAAGACCTGACGAAAGTAATCAAATAGTAATGGATATAATTACTCAAAACATAACGTCGATTGATCACCCACGCGGTTAGCAACAGACATAAAACAAGTGACGTTACCCATATCGATAACACACCTATTTTTAGTTAATAATTATTCCTTAATTAACCACAGGCCTACAAAAACAAGGCCAAAATATTCACAAGGGTAAACAAACATGAGTCAACTAATCCACTAACTAATTACACATGTTTTACTAATTACTTGTACTACTTATGTGTATGAGGTACATATTATTATAATTGCTGGGTCCCGGTTAATTAATATTATTTTAAGGTCCTATGATCAAGAGTTAGATTCATTACTTATCTTAAGAGGAAATGGGCGAATGAAAAACGTTGAAAGACGAAGGCAGATTATTGTATATGAACAACTAAAAAGTTTCTAAGCTATCTTCAATGTCAATGTAAAAGTTTAATTAGGTACATACAAACAACGCACCAACAGTATTTTCAATCCCAATAAATAAATAGCACAGCCAAAAGCACAATTCACAATCACGACACACTGGATAGATGTACGAAAATTTTAGGTACAATCAGACTCCAAGTCACAAAACAGATAAACAAAATTCAATTGTTAGTTCGCGTCACTGGCCCAACAATATTTCGAGTATATAGTATTATCCCTCAGTGAGGCAGGCTGCGAGGGAGGGGGGGAGGGTGAGGAAGAGCCTGAGAGCCACCCTGCAAAGGCTGCCAACAGCATCCGGGTTGAGTGTCGTTGAACGGCCAGCAATTAGGTCGACATCGCCGTCTCCGACGCGCCTCCAAGACGCCGGGAAATCTTTGAATCTTTGGCTTGTTCAACATGTTTATTGGCTTTTTATTGGTCTATAAATAACTTGTTGGCTTAGCTCTATGCGTCGTGCTTGGTTATGATTTGTTAAGTCTATGCCCGCTGTTATGTCTGCGCATAAAGCCAGAAAATCCCGATCTGCTTAATAAAATTAACAGGCTAAGTAACTTGGCCCAGATTAATTGTATGCATTTTCCAAGCAATTTATGGTCGGAGACATAAATAATAATAGTTCGAACAACTAGTTAAAAGCTACCAATTATATACTTTATCCACTCGTTCACGCAATTATTAAGCATTCAGTAAATTAGCATCATTTCATCCCAGCGGAATGGCTGACGAATTAATTTCTTTCTATAAATTAATATTAGCGTGATACTGGGTTTGATCAACCGACGGAATAATATTAATTCGATATTCCGGTCAATTCGTCCAGCATAATTTATTGATTACGAGTCCACACGGAGTACAAATAGAAATAGTTTCATCTGTTTGTGGTACACAGCTACACAGTGAACGTGGATAGACGTGCAGCTATTTTAACACGCTTCTAGTTCGCCAAATAACCGGTTTGCCAGTAAAAATAAATAGATAACAGAATAATATACGATTGTTTGGCAAAAAGTTGAATTTTTGACTTTGTTCTAAAAAAGAAGCGTATCCAGGTGAAAGAAATAGACATATTATTATAACATATACGAACATACGAAGAAAATTTATTTTTAGAAACAAAGATGGATACAAGTGTTGCGATAAACAAGTTCAAAGTTTGAAGACAAAAACATTTGGTACTGATCTGCCCTAACATACTACTGGTCAAGATAAATAAATGTAGATGATGATGTTTTTTTGTTACCAGTTTTTACCAGATCCATCATCGGTGTATGGGTAAATTTACAAAGGTCTTTATTGAAATGCAGAGGCTATAAACAGCTAGCCTTTGAGTCGGGTATTGCATACACACGTTAATCCAAATGCCGTACATACACAGCGATGTTTAGAAAGCAATTAAAAGGAGCCAACGGACGAGGTTGCCGGCGACAATATACCCAGTACCACTAAGTGGGTCAATCATCGCGTTTCTGAGCAAACTTGGCACAGCCAGGCAAACAATCTTGATTGAAAGTGCCCCTAATCGGTTACACTGAACGGGATAAATCGAACGAGCCTAACCGTTGCCTACTATGGTCAATGATTAATGACTAAACTGATGTGATATATTAGCTGGCGTTCAATTTCGTAATTCGTCAGGAGTGAGACAGTTATTGGTGGTTTACATTCGACGTTAATTCTACATAGTTCAGTTCACTTTTAGGCCAGTTGTTCATTATAAACGATACCTTTATAGAACCATTGTGTTTCGATGACACAGATTAACGTAACGCATTCATATTAGATTAAAATTGATACCACAAAAAGAAAAGTAGAATTTGCAGAAACTCTCAGTTATATCCCATCGAGAGAAGATATAGGGGTAGCCTTATCAAATGTCACTTAAAATTCGGTTTAACCACGACTGGTAATCTTTATATCAAAGAGAAGAGTCGTGACGCGACTCAAATATTTTCAGACTATAAATAACAAAGTTGAAACTGACATCTAAAATGTAGGGTAGTCTGTAAAATTGTCTCGCAAATTGGAACGTGCATAATACTGAATGCTACTCATGAAAAGTCTTGTAACAATGTTTCGGACAGACTTGTTAAACAACAAATGTTGCTTGGTTCGCTTCATTCTAAAGAGGATCGTGCAAAACATTTTTTGTTTACTCCCAGTACATTTACATGAAATGAAAATATACAATTCCATGTAACGTAACGTACACACGAGAAAAATAAGCTAGTAATTCACATCATCAAATACTTTTAACTATCAGTCATCACTTGCAGGCCGTGCTCCACCATAAAGATCATTGATCCATTGACACGAAACACTGGTCCAGCATCAAAAGAACCGAGTTCTATTTAAACCGTAACAATTCCAATGTTAACTGTAAACCAATAAATCGAATACATCGATAAATTCGA